CTTAATCTTGTTAACCTATTAGTAAAAAACAGATCCTTTAAGTACCCGACTGTAACAGCAACAATTCATTCGCTGGCGAACAGCAAACATACCCGTTCCTCGGAAGATTCACCAAAACAGACGGAAAAAAAACGATACACTGTGTTTTCCCGCACGCCGAAAAAAAATAACGCGTGCAAATGCAGCACCACTTGCACCACTTGAACATGTTAACATGTTTACACTTGAACATGATCGAACCAGAACCACATGCAGAAAGACTGCGATGTTTCCCCCGCCAACAAGTTGCAAATTGTCCAGGCCTTTTAGGTGGTGGATGTGCTTTTCTGCATTTAAACTGAAGCCATGCACATTATAGTTTTAGGTTGGAGGCCATCGCTCTTAGGTTGGAGACAATCGCTAGTAGGTTGGAGGCCATCGCTCTTGGGTTGGAGGCCATTCACTCTTAGGTTGGTAGGCCATCACTAGTAGGTTGGAGGCCATTCGCTAGTAGGTTGGAGGCCATCGCTCTTAGGTTCCTTTTGCTAGTAGGTTGGAGGCCATTCTCTGAGACCCGCATATCACATGGTGGGCCACCGATTGTTGGAAAAGTCTGCAACCCCCCGAGTTCCGCGAAAAAGTCTTTGTAGATGTCAACTTCCATATTTGTGAGCCGTATACTAGGCTGCTTTGCATCAAGGATATCATAGTCATATAGTTGTATAGTCTACATAGTGTTTCTCTGAGTTGGTGGCTGCCTCTGCAACGCAGAGACCCCATGGAAAGCGAGGATAACTGAAAGGCTAAAGGCAGGGTACGCTGGACCTCTTCAAGAATCAAACCAGCAAGTTCAAGGCCCACAACGTACAGAAAAAACAAACAACTCTATCCCAACGCCAGCCAAGGTCACACCTTAATGCTTTTCTCTCCGGGTTCACAGTCCGTCCAAGACAACCCGAAGCAGTTCTGAAGAACGCAACAAGATTTCAAGAAGAGGTCCAGGCATTTAGGTTTCCAGAAGTTTTGGTGTCCCCCAATACTCCACACCCCTTGATTGAAAAAGGGAGCAGTCAACGTCAAGGGTCTCCACATGTCTCCACTTGGCCTGGTCTGGCCGGGCCACGGGACCCAAATCCCAAGCAAGGCACAAGGCTTGTAGCCAGCTACGGTCCAAGCGCGTCTGGCGCAGGAGCGGTTGCTGCGCTAAAGCCCAGGAACTGAAGCTGAACGGCCTGGGGGTGGCCATGGCCCGGCCGGACCGGACCTGGAACTCACATGGAAGTGGATGGCAACCCCCCTATGGAGAAGAAGAGGTGGCCATGTTCCGAGTTCTGATGATCGAACGAAGCAAGCGAAACACGCCAAGAAGGGACCGTCGTGAGGTGGTGATGTCTTTGTGTGAGGTTCTCACTCTTACCCATCACGCCTGCTTCCGCATATGCCGCTCAGAAAACCCCATGCCACCTCTGAAAACAAAGTCTACTCATGCACACACACACACCTATACTACACCTACGCCAACTGAACTCACACCAACCCATCTCAACTCAACTCGCATTCTTTGAAAAACGCACTTCACTTACACTCTCACACTCACACTCTCCCTCTCTAAAGGGATATAAGTTATAAGCCGTTTCTTCGGTTGGCCATATAACTACCTTGGCCTGTTTTGGTCTGTTGGCTTGTGTGCCCCCTATGTGTAGGACTCGTGTTCACAGCCAAAACCAGTACACCTTCTTCGTTGCAACTACGAAGGCAGTCAGGTACATATACAATGACCAAGAGAGGTTGAGTGACCTTATAGGACCTTACTGGGGTACCGAACTGGGATAGTCTATAAGGTCCTTCAACCTCTGTTGGGAAGAACAACACCCTGACCGCGTTTTCCTCCCGGCGTGAGGTGCATCGGGAGATGGGAGGTTCATCCGCTCTTCTTGGCTGAGAAGGCGTTCGACTTTGCGCAGCGGCGGCTGCGTGCGGTTCCGGGGTTAGAGTTTGGTGACCTCTTAGTGGTTACTCAAGCAAGATGCTTGACACAGGCTGAGCCAACAAGTGGTTATCCAATAGAATTCCTTCTGGGAGTTGTCCCCAAGACTCAGAACAGAATGCCCAAGTCAATGGGGTATCACATAGTCCTTGACTGAATGCATGGCACTAATTTTCCTCTGCTCAAGATCAACAGCCTCGTGGCATCATTGTGGAGGAAGCAGCATATGTATTTGCTTCCACACCAACAAAGGCCATGCCCAAAAATACGCTTCATATATGAACATGTGTTGGCGTTCAATTGCTTTCAACCCCCAATCCCTTGAGCCTGAAAGCCCTTGACCCTAAGAACCCTTAAACTTGGCAAACCCTAGCCTAAAAAAGATCTCCAACATTAATAATAAGCCCATTGCCCCATTGCATCTAAATATGTCTATTCACCCTGAACCCTTAACCCCAAACGCACTCTGAGCCCTAAGAGGCCCTAAGCCTAAACAGCCGTGAAACTTTCTAGATCTTTCTAGCATTAACTTATTGTCTTGTTGCTTGGGGGTATCGTTCAGGTATTGGAGCCATCGCCTAATTCGAGTTTTCACTTCTTCCAAGTCTCACAGCAGCCGCCAGCTCCAGCAATTTCAGGCGCTTCAGCCAAGAGCTCTCTCGACGAAACCTCTGATGAAAACAGCGATGACACGCTCTGTGCTGAGAGGGAGAATCCTCAAGCTATAGAGTTGAAGATACATGGCCTTCCCTTGTAGGTTGGAGGCCATCGCTTGTAGGTTGGAGGCCATTGCTAGTAGGTTGGAGGCCATCACTAGTAGGTTGGAGGCCATTGCTAGTAGGGTGGAGGCCATTGCTAGTAGGGTGGAGGCCATCACTAGTAGGGTGGAGGCCATCACTAGTAGGGTGGAGGCCATCACTAGTAGGTTGGAGGCCATCGCTCTTAGGTTGGAGGCCATCGCTAGTAGGCTATGGCTCGAGGGCACCAGGAGACCCAGGCACTCACATCGTGGACGACCGGACCAGGCTTCACATGGTGGGTCACTCGCGATCCATGCTTGGTGGGTCACTACAGGTGCCATGCAAAAGAGCGCCGTGTCGTCTCATGCCACGTCGTGAGACCTCTTCTCGGACTCAATCCAGGGTCAACGGTTCTACATCAATTCCTTAGTATGTCAACGTTCCATGCCAGTATAGAACCACTCCGGGAGAGGGTGAAAGCAAAGCAGAAGCAAAGTCCGTGCCAAGGTACTTGAAGCCAGAGGCCAAGTCGAGGACTTCTTGTATGGCCTGACAAGAAAGTCACACACGCAACGTCACGCAACACACAAAGAGACCAAGAAGAGACACCAAAACCCACAACGTCTAACACAAGGCTGCGGCCGCCAATCACTATCCTGACCAACCATCTGATGAAAAGACACAGCAGGTTTCCGCCACAGCGCAAGCTATTGCTCCCTAGGGGTTCAGTCTGACCCAGGTCCCGGTCCAAGGTTTCTAGAACTCCAGTAAAACGATCAACACTCCAATCAAAATGAGCTACATTTCCTGACTTCTCACATTCTCACCCGGTTTTTCCTTCACTTGTGCCCCCCCCTTTCCCCCGAAAAGACACCAAACAGGCACTCTCCCCGGCGGTACGCCCCGCGCGCCCGTGTCGTCAGATAGGCCATGCGGTCAGCCAAGGTGTGCGGCTGCATCGCCGAGACACGGACGCCGTTGAGGCTGCCCTGGGCGACTCGTCGGATCGCGACGGCGTGGGTGCTGCTAGTAACAATAGGGCATTACTACTAGCAAGAAGCTGCTAGCTTGTTTGCTACTAGTAGAAAGGGAACTCTTGGGTGGACGTGGGGAATTATGACGAGCGTGTCTTTACGAGAGCTTGGCCACAGAAAGCGTGGCACGTTGAGGAAAATCATCTTGAGGGCTACAAAAAGGTGTATAGGGAAGGAGGGAAGGAGTCTCCAATAGACGCTTCCTTTGGATTCATTAAATTCCTGACTAAGTATCCATCAGTCATGGCTCCTCGAACAGGAATCGCCTCCACCCAGGAGGGTTGAGGAAATGCCCCCAACAAAGAAAGAACCACCTGGATCCTTGTGCAGCAAAACACGGCCTGGATCCCTTGACGACCCCTCAGAGGGAAGACCTTTTCATCCTTGGAACCTACGTCAATGGAGGTTTTAACCCGAAGGACCTGCAGGATCACTTTGGATCCTTTCGGTGCTCGCTCACCTAATCCCAAGGATTGGACCATCACCACCCACCCAGCCACCCACCCACCAAAAAAACGAAAACAACCAAATCACCAATTAAGACCTGCTAGGGCCCTTCCCCTCCCTCGGAGGAGACCACGTTGGAGGATGCTGGTGGTATGCATTATAGTCGTCATTATGTTTAATCTTCATATCTTATCTATGATATTGTACAGCACCTGGGTATAGTGTATATATAATATATTATATTATATACCTAGCTAGGACCTCTGTTTTGAACCACACCAAAAAAAAAACACACAACATGTTGGACTCGATCTTCATGGCTCATTTCAACCAGCAATCACACCGTGACGGATTGGACCAGCGACCGGAGCGGAAGATCCTGAGAAGAAGATAGCAAAAGTATGCAGAAGTGGCATGATCCAGGGTGGTCCATGTTCTCCTAGAGCCCAAACATGAACTCGGTTTTGGCTAGGAAGTTGAACCATATGTTGGAGTGGTGAGTGATGTGAAATAAAGGTCACATGAGGTCACTCAGGCTCCAATTCTAGGTCGTCTATTCACACCATACCCTGGTAGAATCTTGTGAACATCTTCCCTTTTCTTTCTACGTGGAGGCAACCTGGCTGTGGGTCAAAACCTCGTCACGCTGGTTGACCAGCGAAAATAAACAGAATAGACTATTGGGTAGGTCCACCTACCAGGGATTCAGGGATCCCGGTTTTGACCCACAGATTGCTGGATCGACTCGTCACACAGAATCAACCTCGCCATCCCAGGACGTCCATCCCGAGCGTCAGGTGCCCATACCTCAGTTTTTGGTGTCGGTCGACCAGTGGACAAAGATCCATGACTACTAGCTAGGAACAAGAAACTACTAGGCGGAGGCCATCGCTACGAACGTAACAAGAAGCACTATAGTAGTAATCCACCAGCAAATCATGGCCAAGTGAACACAAGTGAACATAGGGGAAAGAAACACAGATTCCCCATGCCAGGAGATTCAGCCATAGGAAAATAACAAATCCTTGAGCAAAGTACCGATGGGGATCGATCGATGTCCTGGTTCCAACACAGGTGCCCCAACTAAGGTGGCAGGTGGCCGTGGATATCAACAACAAGCAGGTCCAAGCCACTGAACCAGAGCACGTGTGTAGCATTGTGGGGCGAAACCCACCGATGAACGTGTAGCCGATGGGAACATCCGGGCACCACAATGGGAACATCGAACATCTCTGGACCGCTCTCCAGGCCACGACCGACTCTTCTCCGGGATCTCGACCCCGTCCAAGTCCGTTCCGTCGGATGGTCCAGGTACTGTCCAGGTGGCACCACACGCGTCGGACCTGAACTTCTGGAGTTGGGACCCCCCCAAACCTCCCCTGGAGCGCAAAGGGTCGAGCCGCTTCTTCGGGTACCCCGCGGTTCGGGCGGTTCTTGACGCGACGGAGACGCGACGGAGGCTGGATGGAGGACGTGGGGTTTCCCAAATTCTCCGCACATCGCAGGTGAACAACCCTTCCCTGCACTCCCTGTGAAGCCAAATGCCACTTTTTCAGACAAGACTCACTTCCAGTACTTTTGAGCATTTACCGTATTTCCACAACAAAAAACAGTTTGTACATGAAAGCCAAGCAAACCCAAACGCTGTGGTTTTCGTGAGCGTTCCAGGTGAAAAACACATTGCTTCTGCCCCCCAGCTGCGTTGTGTGGCATCTCCCATTGTGGCGCGTCCCTCGACAGCGTCAGCTGAGGTGCCTGGCGAACTGTGCACGGTTCCACGCGTGCTTGCGCACTTCCGCACGAAGGATGGAATAGCATGGAACACAGAGCAAACCTCAAGGCCGTGTCCAAACTCATGAATAGGAGAAGGATGGAGAAGGAGACTGCAAACAAATAGGCATAAAAAGGCCTCGGAAACAGGTGGCCACATTCCATCTCCGCTTAAAGAGCATATATATCAAACAATTAATGAATAGACTGAAAAAATGGACTAGACTTCCAGCAAAGTTCGCGGTCTTAGCAACATGCCCAACATGTTGTTTGCTTGTGGTGCAGTATATGTCTTGTGCTGAAGCAGCCAGATCAGAACTTCCACCAAGCAGATTGCAACAATGCAACCAATAGTCAAGTGACTTGGAACATGCTCTCCAAAACTCGTCGTTTCATTCATATTCATGCTAAAGTCCAAAGAAGAAAAAAACACAACATTGCCGCTCAAAAGCAAGACTCTCCATGAGAAAGCAGGGTTCCTGTGCGTCTAGAGACCGTTGAGTCGTTCCGTGACGCGCTGTGTTTCCACCCCGCGCTGCCCTCGTCGTCGGCCGACGGGTCGGTCCGTCCGAACGCCGAACACCGAACGCGCCTCCACGAGGCATGGCACAAAGGTGTTGCGACGATGGAACACCACGGCGGGACGGGCCTGCAAGGACGACCAGGCCGGGCCAGGCCGGGGGCCGGGGCGCAGGTGAGTGTGGAAGGATCATGGCGGCCAGTCACATGGAGTTGAGTGGTACTTAATCATGTTTAATCTCTACACTCCGGAAAACTCACATGGTTACGTGGAAAACGTACCTGTTTGTAGTGGATTTCATGGTCTTCCTTTCGGGGCCATTCTCCACGTCACCATGTGAAGATTCCGAGGCCCAGTGGGTGGATGTGACAAGGGAACCCCTTTGGAACTGGTGACTGGTGGTGTGCCTTCAAAGGTTGATGCATGTGTTCTCTCAACAGGCAAACGACGGGTCACAGGAGTCCAGTTCAGGATTCGGCTTGGCTGCTACTTGAACCAACGGTTTGAGGCTGATTGAGGACTTTAAGCGGAAATGGACGTAGCCACCCTTGGACCAACACAAGAAACAAGTCAAAAGTCATCTCAATATCTGTCATTGAACAGAACATGTATATCGGGAATTCTCAAATACGAGTACTTGCCTGCTACCTCCAACAAGAAACATATATATATATATATATGTTTTTTTTCTTTCCCTTGGTCCATTTCTTGGATCTGAAGCCGACTTGAACCCATCACCGATCGGGCCAGGCCCACCGATGATGAAACCGAAGGTTCTACGAGTTGCAGACTAGTAGTTTAAGAATATCCGGATTTCCCTGTATCAGTGGATGATGATGGTTCAGTTGCAGGAAGACATCTCTAAAGTCGTGATTAGTGCATGTTTACCAACTGTTACATCTTATGAGACACCTCCAATATCTATATAGGACTTGAATCACTTATACTGTACTTATACTCACTTGCAACTTGGGAATGGTCTGCAGTAAACAATGTGTCCTTCAAGAAACACCAGTGCTCAACTGTGATAAATTGGTGATAGAAAAGAAACATGGCTCTTGAGCGAGCTATCAAACGTCGCTAAGGGAGCTTGGCGTTGACCTGTGATGCACTAAACTCTGTGAATTACGGGATATCCTGGACCAAATGACGCGGATCTTGATCAGCTGTGCAGCGAACTGCTTGATGGTGATTGCGATGGTGTTGGCTGTATACTATATACGACACAACAAGACCAGTTTCAGACCTATCAACGATGGCATCATTCACACATATCTATGTTCACCGATTTAGCTGACTATATGTTGGATAATGACTAAATCATAGTCAAATGAAGGAGGGAATAGTAGAAATGTTCGCACAAATTAATCTCACACCCAGAATAGTTTAGTGGGTGGGAACAATAAAACTTGTTCTTCGCCCCAGGAAAATATCCAAGTGTAGTGTTCATTGGGTTTCTTTTGTTTTGCTATTGCTACCATGTAAGATCGTTGCTTAACTGTTCTGAGTATGCTTGATTCATGGGAGTCTTACCTGAAAACAGTTTTCAAAAACATGTACTAAAATTTATGAGTTTTATTGTTCCAAACAAAATTGACCGGGGAAAATGCACAAGCCCAGGGAAAGTGAATATATAATAAGAACTGTTTATATAGGGGGTGGTATTGATAAGTCACTTGGTGGAGCCCTAGGACAAAATATCCAAACCTACTACTACTATTATTATTACTACTACCAACAACCAATACCCATACCCATACCAATACCAATTCAAATACCAATACCATTACCACTGCTACCACCACCACACCTACTACTACTGCCGCTGCCGCCGCTACTACTTCTGCTACTAGTAGTACTACCACTAATTACCACTGTTGCTTTTGGTGGGCTTGACTCTATTCAGTGTCCCTCGATTGTTTGCTTGGAGAGAGGGTTGCTAATTAAGATCCAACATGAACGTCCAAGCAGCTTGTATCACATGCGAGGCAGCGCGGACAGCCATTGGAGCGCGTTTTGCACAAATGCCACAACCAATATCATGAGGGCTGCAGGTTTTGGTCCATCAGAGTTTGTTAGATGAATGACGGGGCGTTGATGAGGAATCCTCCAAGTACGTCGAAGTGCCTGAGCCAACGAACAAGACCGTGCGAAAGGGATTTCCCGGGATGGACCTGAGGTTTCACTGGTTCTTTGACATCTCTGCCTCCAGAGGGAGCGGTGCCGAAGGAAATTCGGACATTCATGCAAGGTGAAGGAATGGCATTCAAGAGCTGGAACGCAAACCCGACGTTCCTTTTTCGCCAACCCGGCGAGAGAAGGTGCACCGGGAACAAGTAAAACACATGATCAACAACACCAAGCCAGTCTGGCAGCTCCGGAGTAGTGGGAGCTGCAGAGTGGGAGGGGGGCGCACGTAGCGACCTGCGGTGCCTTCGTCCGATTCCCAAGCTCCCCCATCTTTGGATTGATGTTTTCCCCACACCCCACCAAGTCCTTTCTCCGCGCGTCGCATGCATGTCCCTTTTTCAGTGTCAAGAGGTGGCCGCTGCCCGCAACGCATGGCGGGCGCCAAGAGACTCATAACTGGCCCCACGGACAGAGGCGCAGCTGACGCAGAGCCAGCTGCAGCTGGCCTGTGGCTCAACCATTTCAAGCTTCAAGATGTCTCTAATGATATCTACAACATCAGCCAATCAACCAAGTACTTCAGCCAATCAACCCCCTTCCCTTTTCATCCCTTTGCCTGGATCCCCCTGAAGAATCGATTGCAAACAGAAACGGACGGGTCCTGACCGCTCGCGAGTCGACGGGTCGCAGACGGATGAGGTGAGGTCCCAGGTTCGGTCGCAGCCCCACGGATGAGGGTGACGAGGTCGGTCGTTACCCAGTCGGGATCCAGTATGATCCAGTCGTACCGTACCTCAGGTACGGTGAGGTCGGGCCCACGACCACTACCTCCTTCTCGGTTCGGTGGCAGTGGATCGCTATAGGGTTCGGATGAGGTGCCTTTTTGGGCTTCTTGCTTGCCCGGCCAGGCCCAAAGCTACCATGGCTATGCTTGGGAGGCGGACAGGAGGAGGATCCTAGATGGCATCTACAGGGAGACTCTGGAAGAGACGGGCTACGCTGAGGATCGGATTGACCTCCTTGACATTGATTCACCAAGAGGTATGTCAGTCGCACCAGCTATGTCATCTGTCATCAAAAGCAGCTGGCGCACCAGAAATGTTTAGCTTCAACTTGACCAGGGTACCACTATAGGTAGAGCTAGCCTATGGGGGCAAATATCCTGGGGGTCAGGGCAGCAATTTTTTGAGCATCCTCTTACCTGATTCCATCTGAGTGTCATCAGCTCTCTAGTGGCATCTTTGGAAGCCAGGCGTTGATGCGCAGTCTGATGATAAATATGGTAAAAACAAAAAACATAATATATATATATATATAGTATATATATTATATATATAATATATCTTCTGACCCTATAGCGATGCCCTTTGCTACTAGCAGCTTCTTGTTCCTAGTAGTAAGGCCAGGAGCTACTAGTAGCGTCCTTGCTCCTAGTAGAAATGCCCTTTGCTACTAGTAACTGGTGCTGCTGCTTCAGAACCATGCTTCATAACGATTCCTTCCTTCCTTCCTTCATTTGTCGCTCGAGCATCACATGCAGCTGCATGCAGCCGCGCGTTTGGGTGACCGGGCCGACTGCCACACACCAACAAGAAAGGTCACGCGAGAATCAGCTGGACCGACTTCCCTCCAGTCTCACGAAAGACCCTCCAAAACCCTAGAGAGAGAAGAAGTCGCATGGCCCAGATTGGCTCAGCATAGCTCAGCTGGGAGTGACATGTTTCAGGGATGTTCCAAAATTTTCTTGGATTTGGTGAGGAACCGGGAACAAATACCATCCTGTCTGGGTGTCCTGGCTATTTGGAAGGAGTTCAATGGAACTAACAAAATCCAAAGAACCTCTGTTGAGAAAACACACAGAAATGCAAAGCAACAGGGAAGCAAGCCCTTTCAACATGACCCAAACTCCAGTTGTCAGCAGAAACGACAGTGGTGGTTCTTCTGGCTCAAGCCATATACCTCTCCAAACAATGCCATGGAGTGTCGCCGTTCCAGCTGCCCTTCTCGGTACGTCCAGCGTCTAGCTCGCGAGCACGGCTCGCACTCAGTGTTGCGGCTCTCAGGTGTTTCTTCAAGCGGCCTTGGAAACGGCATGGGAAGGGCACCACGGATTCCACCAATGCAACGTCTGCAACGCAAGTGCTGCGCAAGCACGATGCTCTTGGAGCTTGACTTCACTCTTTGCAAGCATGCACACCTGAAAGAGTAAAAAAGGGAAGCAAATGGAAACAAAAAAACAACACAGCATGTTTCATCCATTCACTAGCCGAGCCACGAAAGGCCACACGCAGTGGAAAACACGAACTATTGCTCCACACCAAATAAATATACAGGTATTCCGCATTCCCTTTTCAATAAAAGCAAAGCACAATTTTGGACCGATTTTTGAATCTGCAACATAATAAAAGCAAGCACAATTTTGGACCGATTTCTGAATCTGCAACATATATATTTAAAACAATCTACTATCATTGTATAACTATCACAAACAGTTTGCATGCTAAAACAAATTCAACAGCCACTACAACTAGGTCAAAACATGGTCAAACACTAATCCAGTTCCGTGAAAAAGGGTTAAAATGCCGAATGTTCAAGAAGACATTGATTGAAACAATTGAAACAATCGAACAAAATGATGCAGCATGTGCCAATTCCGCCAATTCCGCAGCGCTTGCTCAGCAGTATGCTCAGCATGTGCACCACGTCCAATTGGCTATGCCATGGCAATCATCATGCGTTTGATCGATCGCTGCTGGCGGACTCTCTGGCAGCACGCCCCGGACTAGCCGAGAGTGGTAAGACTTGAGTCTTACGGCTCCCGCCGGCGCCCGGAAGAACCGATCCAAAGATCCACCAGCAAATCCATTAAAGACCGGAAGTCCAGGAAGCACTGCTGTCGAAGCGCAAATCAACTGCTTTCATGTCCACTTCGGGTTAAGACCAGTGAGGTCGGCAACATGTGGCTTTATGTCCACAACAGCGGTCTATCTGCGAAGTAACCGAAACTCCCGACGTCGCCACACCTGCAGGAGCAGCTGAGATGACAATAGCGGCACTCCAAGATTGAAGATCCACCATGGTGTGAATAGCAGATTTGTGAGACACCACCCCAGACAAACAAATTGAGTCTCAAGAGGAAGGACCCCTATAGGGAAAAAAACAGTACTTTATGGGAATTCACCCAGATAGGGACAAACAAAACTCAAGAACGAATGCGTTGGTCGACCTGGCATCCGTTAAACGCGTTGGTCTCCGGCGTCTGACTCCAAGTCACGTGTTTGAACCCAACGCGGCCCTCGTGACCCTCCGCCGCTCCGCCCCCTCGTCTGCAACCCCGCGCTGGCTTGGGATAGAGCACCGTGACCTGAGAGGCGCGCGCGCCGTGACCGTCGACGGCCGTGACCCTCAAAAGGGCCAAACGGGCGATGCGTCGAACTGGGATCCGGCCGAACATGAAGAGAATGTTGTGGATCTCTTGAGAACAACAAATCCAGCCCCCTGCATATGAAAGAGACATGTGTTTCATGTGTTTGATTGTAATCCATGTCTGGGGTTGTATCAGATCGTCTAGATCCACAGCCATGGAGGTCAAACCTACAACTTACGGCTCCAGGGTCAGCAGTCCAAAGAACACGATCTGGCGACCCCAACGAGTGTCGACACCAAAGTCAAGTCAGGTTTGTGAACCATAGAAAGACCTGAGAAAAAAACATTGTAAGGGTCACTACTTGGGCACCCTGGTTGATGCCTGAACATGAACAAATGACTCTGATAAGGGTGGTCAACCTACCACCCGGTTGGGTGGAAAGAGCAGGCAAAACATCCTCACAGCCATGTGACATCGCCCTCCAGAAGTACCCAAACAGGTGCTCAATCTTCAGTCAAGAGGCACCGAACAAGAACGATGCTCGTCGCCGTCCCCAAAGAACGTCCAAACTCTCAAATCCAGACACGACCTGTTTGAGACTGGCGTATTTACATTGGGGGTGGTTGATTGATTTCAGGTGTCTTTCTGGGGTGGCACGAAAAAACTGCAGGAGATATGTCTTTTTGGCGCCCCATCGCACGGGCACCCCAACTCCTCCGAAGCTGGCCATACTCACCGAGTCCTAGCAAAACAAACCACCCGCACAAACGCGGCGGACACGACGTAACGGGCTCATATGGTTCACTTAGTTTGGATTTGCTTTGTTTGGAACTGGAGGAGAACATGTTGAACATCACCAAAACTAAGCAAAAGCAAATCCTTCTTGTTTTGGTGATGTTCAAAAGCAACTCTTTAGCCGCAACACTGTGATTTGAACATCCCAAGCAGGCTAATTTGGAGAACTCTTTCTTGTTTGCGGAAATCCTCTTCGACCACACAGTGTTGCGGCTAAACCTAGAGGACAGAAAGCCGACGAGGACGCAAAGGGCCCCGCATATGTTTGCTTCAAGCATAGACGATGAGTATCCTTTGTCCCGCCAAAAAAAAAACAAAGGGAGAACAAAGAACCACGCATTCTGTCACAGGGCACGAAACGATTTGCCAAACTGTTCCAGTCTGGGGTGTTTATGGAGGTTAGGGCCTGGAGTACCCCCACATCCACTGACTGGTTAGGGGTGCGGCCACACCATCCAACTCCGAGAGTTGCCCAAACCCCAGTGCCCAAACCGTGTGCATCGAAACAGCTGATCCAAGAACCAACCGCAACCAAACCCCAATCTCCAACCAAACAACCGCAACCCGCGCAGTTTCGGGATGGCTCCTCGGTCTGAAAATGCTTCAAGGCAGCTTCAATGGCTTCCTGCGCAAAACAGGGCTGAGTGCTTTGCAGATCCACCGGAAACGGTAACTTGACACTGATCTTTTGACGGAAAGAACGGATAAACTTCTGCCAAACTGCTGCCAAACGTCGTGACTTGTTCAAAATCAAAGCGCAAACAGGTTCAAATTTTATGTCGCCGCCATGTTGTACAAATGTCTAACCTGAGATCTTCTGAGGTGCTCTCCGTTTTTCCCGCCAACCTCGCAAGGCATTGCAGATTCCGCAACCAAAAAAGTTGCAGGATCTGGGCACTTCACTCAGTTTGTGGAGTTGTCAGCCTCCAAATGGCAGCGTGAAGGGCACCTGCAGCAGAAAACAAATACAACGATCAACTGTATAACTGCATAACTTAATCACTGATCAATACACGAAGACTACGACGGAGAGGAACCCAAACCCCGACTGAGCAAAACGTGGTCTCTTTTGCATTCGCAAATCCGACGTTCTTCATAGAGCAAAAGCCAACAAAGGTTAAGTGACCCTATAAGACCCTAGAGGCGCTACAGGGGTACTTATAGGATAGTCTAGTTCGGGTTCTGACCCACCTCTGCTGGAGGCTGGTCACCGAGATCCGGGCTTTGCTGAACACCGAGTAATTGTTGCGTCGTGGTCGTGCGCAAGCGGTGTCCCGCCTCTCGCGGGTTCAAGTAGATCCGATTGTGGCTTGTTTGATTGCTTGGAAAAGGTGGCATATGGACTATCCCGTCCATCCCCAAGCTGATGTCTGAACACTGACTTATAACACCACGCTCCTTTTGCGAAAGGAACTTCAGAATTTGGTTTGGTACGTATAATACATGCAATCGAAACACAACTGCGCTGTCGTTTGGGCCTCATCTCGTTTGGACATGTTCGCACGTAGTGGACTCATAACGCGCCGTCATGAAAGCCAAGGCATCGAGAGGGTTCCATTGTCTTCGCAGAAAATACTGATGTTGCACAAACCAAAGTGCCTCGAACACAGGTGCCCTTAGTCAAGTACAGCCCCCAAAGCTTTCAAACAATGGACCATCTGCCATGTCACCTGGAAACCGAACTGGGAGCCACCCAGCTCCCTCACCCGGAAGGTCGGATCTGAGATGATCTGAGCTACGGAAACCGAACGAGCGAAGGCCGATCCAACCCCCGCCACGAGGTACACCGACACCGACACCTGCAGGATCCTGCAGGAGCTGGTATGGTTTAATGTCTTTTCGCTTTTCCAAAGGCACCGAAGCTGGAACCAGCGATGTGGATAGCGCCCCCGCGTCGACTTGGAGGATGTGGAACCCCAAAGAGACATAAACGGGTGGTGAACACAGAACATGATTCCATGATCATGTCAGGGAGTGGAGACAGTTCTTAAGGTGCGAGCATCCCAATCTTCCACCTTTCACCGTACCACCAATCCAAGCAGCTGAAAGACACTTCACACCACTTCCGCAGCAGGCTGGCCGTTGGAGTTGGTCGTGGAAGTTCTGCTTTGTAGAAAACACATCCCGTGTAGTCGCCGGTTGCGGCAGCATGGCCAGCATGCGGAGTGCCCCCCAAATCACTGGCCCCTGACGTGAGATCTTCTGGATGTACTTCTGCTGTCCGAGACGAGACGAGGACATGAGTGGGCGCAAAGGAAAAACGGCCACATATATGCTGTATATACGTGTGACAAATGCTGTTTGAATCCGCACTGGCAGGTTGCAGCTTCTGTGAGAAGGAACGCTATACTTTGTCTTTAAAACGTCCCACAGTCAGCACAGCTGTTACAGATATCGTTTGGATATCCTTTGATCCGTAGCATGGTTGATGCATATCTGTTGATACTATTTTCATCTATACTTTCTGTTTGATGCTTTTGCATCATTTTGCCCATTCCTTTAATGGTCACCGGATGTCACCGGCCATTCCTGCCGCAGGAATCGGCGGAATCACGTCGTACCTAATCATACGCCAACCAGCGCCAACATCCGCGGTCAACCATCCACCTCCGCGATCACGTCGAATGCGGACGCGCGATGCTTCTCGAAGCATCCGTGTGACATCATGTGAGCAAAGGAGTTGCTGCATGCTGCATGAGCCCAAGCGGTGCAAGGAAAAACAACAAGGATAAATCAAGGAGAAACAAAGGCGAAACAGGATGTTGCATGATGTTGTATTCTGCCACAGCTTCTACCAAGTCGAAGTGATTCCCCAACAAATTGCATACCAAACAGAGTGGTGCTCATGCTGTGCTTGTTGCGGCAAGTGTTTC